CGCCTCTCCCACTGTTTACATCTTCCGCATATTCCATTCGTCTTAGTGAATGCCATATTGAAGTCTGGGAAGTGAAACTTCCCAAAGACATGTTCTTTGGTGAAATCCTTGTCCTCTAATCTTCACATCCTAGCATTTTATTTGATGATTTTAGATCTGATAAAATAGATTTTATTTTCTATTCAGTTGCCTTCTCTCTGCATAAGCTTCCTCTGAAGACAGTATACACAGCGATGAGGTTTCTCGGTTATACTCCCGTTTTCCTCCTTTATGAAAAGCTTCAACCTTTCGTTTTCCATCTGTACCACCCCCACTACTGGGCTGACTTTGGGTGACTGTCTCTTCTCGGCCTCACTCATCCAGCACAGTTATTCAAGTCAGATGACCGCGACATGAAGCACTGGCACTCGGTTAGGGCGCGTGTGTGCGCACGTTGAGATTATTAGAAAAATAATTCTAAAGGAATGGACTTCTGATATATTTTTCCTAAGACTAAAGCAATTTAGTAGCTCGGGGTTTTCATTCAAGAAAATGAACGGCTTTTATCATATCTGATGGAAGACTTCTTTTGGGAAGTCTGGCATATTCTGAGGCTGATTTCTGTAGCTTTACCACCATTTAACTCCCAACACAGCTGAAATCAGATAGGTTGCCGTAGGACGGCCTTTTTGTAACTGAGGAAGTAGAAAAGGGAAGGGGGGGGCGCTGAAGCAATGTCTTCTCTTTGAACACACACCGAAAAATGTGGTCTAATAGCTTTTTCTTAAAGAGAAAATACCTACATAACAGGTGAATCTGGTGAATTAAAACCAGAAACCTCCCTCATTTCTCCCCCCAGCCCACCACATGTTCTCAGGGTACCTAAATCAAAGAGAAACAGATTAAGGTGAACGGCAAGGAATGTTCTGTACTCAAAGCAAGATCAATCATTATACATAGATCCTTTTTTGGCACCGATGTAGAAAATCCAAACACGGAGATACTTAGGTCTGCAAATAACCTAATCTGCATACCAGATGGATCTAAGGGAAAAAACATAGACACTTTTCCACACACATATTTTTTTTAAATATGAGCATAGAAAAACAGATGCTTTTGCCCCCAAAGGGTCTGTGGGCCTCTCTCGAGTAGTCTTATGGAGCAATTTAACTTCAGATTTCTAAAATTACGAAAATGTCTAGATTAAGCATTAAATGGGAAGAGAAAGGGCCTCTAGAAAACCAGCTGAACATCTTCTGAATTATTTTTAACTGCTCAGTGATACCCAGCCCCCAATTTCACAGAGAAGTGGATGGAGGAGTCAATAAAGGGAGGTCTCCCCCAAATGGGTGGACTATGATTCACTGACCTTCAACAAATAATTTAATGCTCTGCCAGCTGCATGGTTCAGTGAATGAAACTACTGTTCAAGTTTCAGTGAATGAGGATTGTGGCATTATTTCTTTCGGGTCCTATTTGTGGGCGTAAAACTAAATCTCCTTAAAACAATGAATTTTATCTACATTTCACACATATTCCCTTATTGCACTTATCGTATCTACCATCGTATCAAGCCATCTATCTTCTCCAACAAATCTTACAAAGGCACAGTGAACACACAACACGGATCCGGGAACTTGATATTTCCTCCTTAAATTTCACAGTAGACGGTAAAACGGCTTTGATACTTGAAGTTCTGAAACTAGTTCAGAAAGAGCGATTATAATTACTGTAAAAGCAAAGTTGAATATTCTCTTGGTTACCAAAGTCATTAAAGAACTGCGGGTACAATTTATGCCTTGTTCATCCGTAACAGATGGAAAGAAGAAGATTTAAGACTAACTGAACAAGAAGCGCTCCCATTAACTAGTTCCTTTGTGCACCGTGTTACGCACAAGCCTCCCATCCCACCCCTACTCCGATAAGCCCTGCACCAAAAATTCAAAGAAAGGAAAGACCAGGAGCAAAACGTGACACTTTTGGCAGTGAGGCCTCACTTAGCTCACATCAGTAGGATCACTGCTGCCCCTACGTGAGTAACATTTCAAGATAATTGAGATGTACTCTCTTAGGTATCGGGAATTTGAGCATTTCTGATGGAAAACCTCCCCTCAGATGTATTATAATTCCCCTAGGTTTTTCAGCAGAAATTACTGAACGCAATAAGCCATACCCTGATGACTCAGGCACTCAGGATGAACATCCGTGATTATACTGTGCCGTAGTACAGTGTTGTCTGCTTTTTGGGGGGACTCCTCCTTCCCCTTTAAGTCAGTTTGTCACTTCCTCTGCTGCTAATGTACCTCTGTCTAATATCACCACCCCCCTCCATACACACCCCTTCTAATTTGTAGCTTTTCACTTACTGTGAACCAGAAAACCAGAATTGGTAAGAACTGTAGGTTAAATAAGAGTTAAGAAGGCACCGAAAGTAAGGATGAGGAAATAATTACGGCTTTTAACGCAACAGCTTTGTGACACCTAAAGGTTCCTATCTTCAGATAACTTTCCCACCTCTTCCAGTTTAAACTAAATTTTGAAAGGGTAGTGCTGTGAGAGAACTACCTTCAAATAAGTGAGTTTGCTTTGCACAGACCATCTGGGCATGGATTAAAGGGGCTATTCTAATAGCTTCAAGTTTTTCTGAACCTGAAAAACACTATCTTAGTGAATGACCTCTCTCCACAGTTATTTAACCCCACACAATTACATAACGCACATCCCAAACACTTTTGTAGATGTTATTCAGTTTGATTCTGACAACAGTGCTGAGATAGGAAAGGCCAGGCTCATGGTCCCAGATTACAGGTAAGGAAATGGAGGCTGGAGAAAGTTGAGTGACTTGCCCACAATCAAACTGAGTACGTGACAAGGCTGGGCTCCTGGGTTCTCTTTCGGGGGTCGTCTAACACTTAATGCTTTCTGTGGCTCCCTGTTGCCTTTCTTATGCTCAGAAGAACATTAAACCCTGCCTCTGGTGAGACAGACTTACTCTGTTTCCTTTGGGCTTGCTTCTTTATTTCTCTCCAAGCTCTGCCAGATGTCCTTAGGAATCTTTGCTCATTTTTCTAACAGAAATCAAAACCCTCTGATTTTATTATGTTGAAGGTTCTCAGGGAATTAAAAATTCAACAAATGTATGGTCCCAACTTGCCATCAAAGTTAACAAACGTCACCAGGAAGGATGTTTCTCACAAGCGGACACTGAAGAATACATCCCAGCAGATACCTAACAGCTCATTTTGTGTCACAGTGGTGTGAGAAATCACCTCCTCGAGACATTCATTAACCTTTCATTTCCTCCGTAAATAATCAGTCAGATACGTGGCTCATATTTTAGATTAATCAAAAATAGCTCTCTCTCGCTCTCTCTCGCTCGCTCTCTCTCTCTCTCTCTCTCTCACACACACACACACACACACACAGACCTAGGTTCTAATTCCAGCTTTAGCATTTCTTAGCTGTGTGGCCTTGGGTAAATTACTTAAATTCTCTTTGGTTGAGATACCTCATCCGTAAAATGAAACTTATGATACTTAATCTGTTTAGTTGTTCTAGGGATTAAATACAGCACCTAGCGCAGTGCCTGGCATATACTAGGAACTCAATTAAGGGCAATTGTTTTTAGTATTATCGTTGTGACCTTTTATATACAGCTCTGGTTTGATATGTGTACATTGCTTTCTCAAACTGTTTTTAGACCCTTGACAGCTGTGTCCATAGAGGAATGTATGATGAAGTTTAATGGCCCCTTACTTGCACAGGTTCTTTCTGAGGCCTTATTCATAATTTTGTATTATTTTTCTTAAAGAAGGCTCTTAAAGTGATATTAGCTTCAGGCCTGCACAAAACCTGGTTGTGCCTCTGGTTGTGTCTTTAACCTCTATCATATCCCCCTCCTCACTCCCACTCCTGCATACAGTCAGTACTGTACAGTCAGCACTCAAAACAATGACATTTTATAAAATCTTCAATTAACCAGAATTTTTGCTGTACTTAACTATAAGGAAATAAGCTTATGGCAGGTATTCTGTGAAAACCTTTCAACTGCCAACCAATACATTTAGTTGGAAAATATTCAATCCACTTACATATTTTGAGATAATAAAAATGCGCTTTGTAAACTGTAGAGCTTAGTATTAATACAGTGCCACTCATGAAAATTATGATAAGAGTGATGACCCTAAAGCAGGGTTTCTCAATCTCGGCACTACTGACACTCTTGGCTGGATAATTCTTTGTTGTGGGGACTGCCCTGTGCATTATAGGATATTTAGCAGCATCTCTGGCCTCTGCTCACTAGATGCCAGTCACCCCTCCTAGATGTGACAATCAAGATGTCTCCAGGCATTGCCAAATATCCCCTAGGGGAAAAATCCCTTCCCCCACTACCTTAAGGCACATTCAGCACCAAAAGATGTACAGATGTTCACAAGTCTTTCATATTAAGGTAAGAAAAGGAAGGCAAGCATTTTAGAAAAGTTTTTTTTTTTTTCTCAACTGCTTCTGCTAGAAAAGTTTTCAATAAGCAAAAGCAACCTCGATTAACCTGAAAAATCACATTAACCCCATTCCTTGAGTGTTCTATTCCCTAAGCATTCCAGATAAAGAAAGAAAAATGTACCATACATTCTATTTTCTAATTTGTATGCAAAGTTCAGCCCATTTTCCAGCTCAACAGCTAAGTACAGAAATCCAGTTCATGGGTGAGGGATCATCAGTTTCATCACTTTTGCCATCTATTTTAAGTGATAATGATGCCACTGACCTGGAAGTTTAGAGAGCTTTTTTCCCTTGCTGTTGACATTTTTAACTTTCATATTAGCAATTCTTCCTGTATCCTATGCCTGAAAGTAAAATGCAACAGAAAGAAATCTGGCCCAACTAACTATGATTTACTATATGTAAATGACCTAACACTTTGTCGATTACTTAAAAGTAATTTGCTCTAGCCATCCCAATGACTGTGCAATTGAAAATGTCCTTGAATAAGCAATATTTCTTATCTTTTATTTCTGCAGGTTGTGATCCTGGGGAAGCATTCAAGGGGTTACCACTACATGCTTGCTAACCTGGTAAGAACAAGCAGAGCTTAAGTTTCCAGGGCATTATATTCTATTTAGTTTGTGTCGCCTGTAATTATCCCTAAAAGAAATACAAGAAGAACCTAATGTGTTCTCTAGACACTTCGAGAAATGGGTCAGTAAATACTAAAACCTGAATGCAATAGCCTTGTTTTCAATTATGCTGTGTCTGTTTTAGCTGTGAAGCTTATATCCTCTCCTCGTTGAAAAACTAATAATTTGATATGATTCTTCACTGATTACTCTTAGATTTAATTTGGAGTTGAAACGTCAACCATTTTAATCAGGTTTCAAATGTAAAACAAGGGACAGGGGACACAAGAAACTGACTCTTCCCCCAATTAATCCAAGTGTATGTGCACATTGGTATTGGATTTGTCTTTCTAGAAACAGGCCACTACCAAATCTTTTCGAACCAGATGTGAGCAGTAGGTTTGAACACAGAACAATTAAGTAGTCCTGTCAAAGTGCATAGCCACCTTTCTACGTATACCAAAACACAGCTTGAATCTGCACCTTCAAACTCCCCATGCCTTTAAAAGCTGTGACATTCTAGAAATTACTTTTTACTAAGGTTGGTTTATAGGTCTTCTTTCTCTAAAAGGACAACTGGTTTAGGAATTAACAAAGTGGCTTCTAAATCCGTAATATATGTTTGGCAGAGGTTCTGAATAATGCTAAATACATGTTTGGCAGAGGTTCTGAATAATACTATCTCCCTGTAATGAAAGAGGAATGGTAAATTATCACTATGATACTAAGAATCTATTAAATTACTACATAACATGAGTTCTAGCCCCAACTTTATTCCATTAGCACAAGAGAATCATAATCATTATAGAGCTCTTAAACCAAAAGAATAGCAACAGAGGTGAAAGATTATCGTAATTATATTCTTAGATTTCTTAAATCAAAGAGAAAAATCTTATTTTGTTTTAATAATGAATAATTTTAAGTGAGAAAGGAAGTGTTACTTAAACCTCCTTAAGAAGTGTGTGCACTCAAACACTTTATAAGATGAAGATCAGAGCTACTGCTTTGAAATGTTGTGTGCATCGTCTCCAATAAATTGCTCAAAGTGGAGCGCTTCAGTCCATCGTAGGGATAAATGAATCCACTCTTTTAGGAGAAGAAATCTCGATTCTTAATTTACATCTGAGTACATCCAATCTGTTTTTAGACAACTGATAGGTAAAGGATGTTTGTTGACTCGTTGGGGGTGAGACCAGGCTTTGGCAGGAAACATGGAGGTTATAGCAAGGTATCTGAGGCAGTTATTGATGGATTTTTACCATTTCTTTCTCACCCGTAAGTATTTTGTTCTTCTTCCTTCCTTCCTCTCTCACTTCCTCTTCTCTTCTGCCTATAGGGTCCACTCAGCACTGATGGTACATGAGACAACTTTAGGTAGTGCACACACGAACTGTTTTTTATTACAATGGTAAATGTATTTATTTACCACGTACTAGAAAAACATAAAACTAGCACATCAAAACCCAAATTTTATGGATGTTATTACTTCATACAGGGCTAGAGATTTACCAACAAATGAAATAACTGTTTATGTCAAATGTGCCAAGTAAACAATAGCATGTTGCTATAAACAGATACAGCAAAATCTGTTTTGGGTATATGCAGTTGTGGTGCTACATGGATGACTGGAGTTTGGGAAAGAGCATTGAACTAGGGGTCAGAGACTTTGGGTTGTCCTACTGACCTTGCTACTCACTAGCTATGGGATGTTGGATAAGTCACCTCACCTTTGAGGACCTCAGTTTCCATACTGTAAAACTCAGATGGGAGTGGGGAGTTCATTGATGTATTGGTTGGATCCTTTAGAAGCAGATGCTGAGACATAAATAGAAGTGCAAGACATTTGTTGGGAGTAATGCCCGTGAAAAATAAAAGGGGGAGGGACACAAGTAGAAAGGGAGCCCTTCAGACCACAATACAGGTCTGATATCGGCGAAGGAGGGGAAAAGGAAGGAAGTTTGAGGGATAGTCAGGGAGTTTGGGATTGACATGTACACACTGCTGTATTTAAAATGGATAACCAACAAGGACCTACTGTATAGCACAGGGAACTCTGCTCAATATTTATGTAACAACCGAAATGGGAAAAGAATCTGAAAAAGAATACATACATGTATGTATATAACCGAATCACTTTGCTGTACACCTGAAACGAACACAACGTTGTTAATCAAGTATGCTCCAATATAAAATTAAAAGTTAAAAAAAAAAGATCTTCAGACCATGGGCTAGCACACCTGGGAGCTACAGTGCAACAACTCCACCTGGAGGAGGCCCATGCTGCCCCAAAATGGCAAGCCACTGTACCCCGACCTTGCGCAGCCATTGGCTGGCAACGGCCTGGGAAGCACCCACCTCCCGCTTGCGAGCTGGGGTAAATCCTGAAGGCGCCTGAAGCTGGAGACTGTCGGCTAACTCACGTCCTGGAGGCAGGTTCTATGTTAAAAGATCTAAGCCTGAGCCCTGCACATCAATGGCTGTCTCAGTTGGCATAAGGTGACCAGATGATCTATAAAGACCTCTCCCATTCTGGATTCCTAACTGGGCCTCTCTACTCCTACTGACAATCCTTCAGAACTTTGGTTTCAGTTTTGAGACCCAGACCTGACAGAAGTGAAAGCACGTAGAGTGACAGAACTGCAGGAGAAAATCACTAGGACAAGGTTGGGGAAAAGAATGGTAAACTGGATGCCTAACACAGAACTCAGAATTATGAAACCTTGGAAAAATGCCTACCACAAGAATAAGCAAAGTCTGTTCCCTCAGAAAGAATGTAATATATAGTGTCATGTCAGTCTGGATAATGAAAACATGAATTCATTTACCATGCTTTGAGCTGCCATCCCTTCTCTTCCTCCAGTGACCTTCTTTCCATCTGAACACAGCCATGTGTCTCCATAAGTCCCTGTTCTCTATATCAAATTGCATATGGGCAATACAGATAGGAACCGTTACTAACCTCTGATGAAACAGTGAGCCACATTATGCCTTCCGTGGTTACCAGATTTTTTTAAGCAGCTAAAAATACCCCAAAGACACATATACATATATACACACAGCAAACCAAAACTATTTAGAAGTCATTTAGATGATCAAAAATGGGTAAGTGGAGCTAAGAAGATGTTTCCTTCCAAGATGAGCCACAGCTGGATGAAAGCTGAGGACACGTACGCAAGGGAAGATGTTCTCATCTGAATCTTGGTGTAACAACAGCACAGAACCACTGCCTTCCTCTACAGATGCAAAGTCAAACACGCTCACACTGCCTACCCAAGCTTTCTGGAACCACCTGCACCAGAGCCCCAAGCGCCCCCTTTGCTACTACGTCCCATCTTTCCGGCAATGACTTCTATGTGCTTTCACATGGACCTTCCCTGGTAGCAATCCTAAAGTGACAAGACCTGGATATTCGGTAAATGCTTCAACAAAGACCTTTCACAGGTCAAGGTGTACATTTCAGAATGGACAACAAGCTGCAGAGAGTTCTAACTCGTTGAAACCCCTGGAAGAAACAAAAGATTTCATCGGGAGCACAGGCCAGAGATGTGATCTGGTCAGGCCAGAAGCGGACACGCCAACAATCAAAGAGTTAGTAAGTCTCTTACAAATTCTGTATCAGTCAGTGGTGTCGTTTCTTTTTAGGGGTTGTTCCACAATTGATTGTTATTTCCTCTTCCAGAACTCCCCCTAAGGTGGTAATGTGTCTCTACTTTAGTACCAGAGGTAACCAGCAGGTATACAATTTGTCAGTCAAGCCACCTCTCTCTCTTTCATGGTAAGGTCCTGGATCAGGATCCTTTCCACTGCATTCCCAGGCAGTGTACTATGTACTGTGATTTGTTTCATATATGTCAATAACAGTGTGCATTGGGCTTCCCTGGTGGCGCAGTGGTTGAGAGTCCGCCTGCCGACGCAGGGAACGCGGGTTCGTGCCCCGGCCCGGGAAGATCCCACGTGCCGCGGAGCGGCCGGGCCCGTGAGCCATGGCCGCTGAGCCTGCGCGTCCGGGGCCTGTGCTCCGCGGCGGGAGAGACCACAGCAGTGAGAGGCCCGCGGACCGCAAAAAACAAAACAAAACAAAACCAAAAAATAATAATAGTGTGCAGAACCCTAGACTAACCCTAGGCATAATAAAGAAAACAAAGCACTAGACCAGGAGCTAGGAGATAGGTTCGAATCCCAAGAATTGATCTAACTAGCCTGTGACAAACCAAACCTCTCTGAACCTGTTTCTTAATCTGTAAAATGAAGAGATAGACCAGATCAGGGTTTCCCAAAGCGTGCTATTTTTACATGAGATGATTTGAGGTAGTATACGGCAACACTTCTTAGACTGATTAGTTTTGAACTTATATTAAATGTGTATTCAAAGAAGATAACTCTCCCGTCAATTCTACGAAGCTAAATTAGATATTCAGATTAAAAAACTTAGTCGATGTGGGCTTCCCTGGTGGCGCAGTGCTTGAGAGTCCGCCTGCCGATGCAGGAGACGCGGGTTCGTGCCCCGTTTCGGGAAGATCCCACATGCCGCGGAGCGGCTGGGCCCGTGAGCCATGGCCACTGAGCCTGCGCGTCCGGAGCCTGTGCTCCGCAAATGGGAGAGGCCACGACAGTGAGAGGCCCGCATAACGCAAGAAAAAAAAAAAAAAAAAAAAAAAAAAAAACTTAGTCGATGTAAAGAAAATATATGAGGTAAAGACTAGTTCAGATGATCCACCCATGCGGCCAAAAAACCCTGTAAAGGTGGCACATTAGAGGCTAAAATTTGAAAAACACTCCAAGGTGACTTCCAGCTCTACATTTCTTCCCTCGTGGAGGGTCAGTTCGGACCAGGGAAGGCCAGGAGCGAGAGTGTAGGCACAGCAGCTGGGTCAATATGGAGGACATAAGTGGGGGAGCACAACCAGAGCCCTGTTAGCCTTGGGGTACTGTCATAGAGCAGACTTCAAATCAGCCCA